TTTTTTGAGGAGCAGAGTCTTCCCTATGTTTTCTATTTGACTACACAGTCATGTAATTAATGAAAAGTCAATAAGTAGCCTACTGATTTGATTTGATTCTAGTGGCTTGCTTTTCCACTGAGGATGAAACACCTATTCTTAGTTTTTGGAGTACAGACATGTTGAGAGACACATATCCAGGAGTGAGCACAGGCTTGATAATATTCTGGATCTGCACTGGTTGGTTAAGAGTGTGCTATTTTTGTGTTCATGTCCTGAAATAAAACTTATTAATGAAAAAGTTAATCATACAAAGGAATAAGCTACCTCTGTCTGAAAGCCTACAAAGGGACATGTCTTGCATTTTGTTGTTTGTGTAAACTTCCAGTTGCTGGTAACTTTTTCTTCTTGGGCTTTGTCATGCAGTGGGGTTTTTTGTCTCTTCTTCTTGTCTTTCAGGAGGAGCATATTACTTAATTTCTAGGAGTCTGGGGCCGGAGTTTGGTGGTGCCATAGGTCTGATTTTTGCGTTTGCTAATGCTGTTGCAGTAGCTATGTATGTGGTTGGCTTTGCAGAGACTGTTGTGGAGCTACTCAAGGTATATAGATGATAGTATTTATATTGATTGTCCTTTATGCAAGTTTGAGCTGTCATATAATCAAAAAATCATAGAATAGTTTGGGTTGGAAGGGACCTATAAATGTCCTCTGGTCCAACCCCCTGCAACTAGGTTGCCCAAAGCTCTGTCCAACCTGACGACGAATGTTTCCAGGGATGGGGCATCTACAGCCTCCTTGGGAAACCTCTTCCACTGTTTCACCACCTTCATTGTGAAAAATATCTTCCTTATACCTAGTTTGAATCTACTCTGTTTTATTTCAAAACCATTACCCCTTGTCCTTGTGCTACTTTTTAGTTGTGCTACAAGCCCAATTTTTTTAAAAGTCTGTCCCCATCTTTCTTATAGGCCCCCTTTAAATATTGAAAAGGTGCAGTAAGGTCTCCCTGGAGCCTTTTCTTCTCCAGGCTAAACCCCAACTTTTTCAGCCTGTCCTCAGGTGTTCCATCCTTCTGATCATTTTTGTGGCCCTCCTCTGGATGTCCTCCAATAGGTCCATGTCCTTCTTGGGCTGAGGACTCCAGAGCTGGACACAGTACTCAGGTGGGGTCTCCCCATAGTGGATTAGAGAAGGAGAATCACTTTCCTTGGTCTGCTGGCCATGCTTCCTTTGATGCAGCCCAAGGTACAGTTGTCCTGGGCTTGTAAGTGCACACTGCTGGCTCATGTCCAGCTTTTTATCCACCAGTACCCCCAAGTCCTTCTCTGCAGAGCTGCTCCCAATCTTCATTCCCCAGCCTGTATGGATACAGGGTATTGCCCTGAGGGGTTCAAAGATGGGGAATGAGGTACAATGTTACTTCTGCTGTATCAGTAAAGTGCTGCTGTAATTCAGTAGCTTTCTGTCAAAAAACAGATCTTCATTGGTGTCAAATGGAAATTTCCCACGTTGTTCATCTTCCCAGAAGAATAAAATGTGCAATTTGTGCTAAAGTCCAAGCTGGCTGTTGAGGAGTGTCATTACAGATACATGATGCAGGATCATAAGTTGTTAATGCTGAGATTATTAGTGAACTGTTTTTTGTAAGTGATAGTTGTTTATATATATTAAGCTCATTTTCAAAGGAGTTCTGCTTATTAAAAACAGTTTTTTAGGATATACACAACCAGGTATTATTTGTCTGTTGGATTTTTGATTAAATGTAATAATAAAATAAATGAGGAAAAATTTAACAATACTTTTAAGTGGAAAGAAGTTTGGAATACATTAAAAGAATTAGTAGTGAACAAATGAAATACATGTATAGGTGCAAGATGGTAGCAGCTGCCTTGCTGATTAATTCTCTAGCAGTTGAAGATAGGCCGTTCTGTCTGGGGTGGGCTGTGAATAGGAATAATTATTTCCATTTAGAAGATTCAGTGATTTTAAAATAAGGCAAAAAACAAATTACTTGTGTCCTTACAAGAAATTTAAGATGAGTGAATTTATGCTATAGAGGTTAACTCTATTAATAAATTAACAGTCAATGAAATACTATTCTCTGGTAGGGAAGGTGATCACTGAAAGTATATGACTCCTT